CAGGGAAGTCCTTAATATTTATAGAGCTGATAAATTTAAATCAGCCTAGGACATAATTAAGGCTCAATGAGTTTTAGATTAAAAAAAAAATCAAGTCCGCAGGAGTAGGGCAAGAAAGGGGCAAGGGCAGGGCACAAAGCTATTCTTGGACATGAAGATGGCACATTCTGGGGTCACCTAGCAATACTGGGTGACCCATGTGTGGGCTGTCAGCATCTGTGATACTTGCCTCCTAGGAATGCAGGACGCTTGCAACTGAGTGCATGGCGGGGCTTGGAGGAAGGGGATGAGCAGGTATGGAGGGAGAGGAGGCTGTGTGCCAGGCGCTACCCTGAGCACATTATAAACTGGGCACTGCCTAATGAGACAAGGGATACAATCCCATTCTACACGTCTGACTCTTTTGTGACGCTATGGACTGTAACCTGCCCTGCTCCTCTGTCCCTGGAATCGCCCAGGCAAGAATACTGGGGTGGGTTGCCATTTCCTTCCCCAGGGGATGTTCCCAACCCAGGCATCGAACCTGTGTCTTCTACATTGAGGCAACTGAGTCTCAGGCAATCAACATGTCCAGGGTCACACTACGACTGAGAGGCAGGGTGGGATTTAAAGGCAAAGCCCAAACCCTGTAACCTGGGAAAACAGACTCCTCGTGTCCCCACCTCAGGCCACAGGGTAGTACCCTCAGTCCCTAAAAGAGGGAAGAGTGCCCCTCTCTGCTCCCACTCAGCCTCCCGGAAACCTGAGTATGGGTGTTTGTGTGGGAGACCCTGGAGACCCCTGTAGTGGGGCAGGGCTGTGGGTCTAAGCTGAGAAAACAATCAGGAGTTTCTGAGGCTGTAGATCTGAGGCATCACCCCCTCTCCTCCCAGGCACATGAAACCTCCTGAAGGGACCCTGGCCTCAACTGGCCTGACTGCATGGCTCCCCACTCGGCAGCAATAGCTGTGCCAGCCCGAAGCCAGAGCCGAGCCCTTGGATGCAGTTGCCTGGTAACCAGCCCTAAGTGATGGAAACCCCAGTGGGCCATTAACGAGGGCACAGTGCCAACTGCCCAGCCCAAACCCCACTGCCCCAGCTGGCCTTATGAAGGCTTCAATGGACAGTCCACCTGGCCTGCCCACAGTAGGACAAGAGAGTGCTCCAGCAGTGGGCCCAGGCAGGGCCAGGAGGAACTGGGTTGGCAGTCTCCCAAGACCTTTGAATTGGGGAGCTGGGGAAGGTAATTTCCTATGGAGGCCAAAGCCTGACCGAGGTGAGGCGAGCGCTGGGCAGGAGTCAGGGTTGTGGGTACAGCTCGTTCAGGCCCAAACCACCAGCCTGGAAACAGCTGTGCTGTTCTGCCCAGGGCATGGAGGCCAGGGGAGGGGATCCCCAGAGAGAGGCCCTGGATGGGGAAAGGAAAGGAGGTGATTAGAGAGGCTGGCAGGAGTCCAGGCTCCGGTGAGGAGGGGAACAGTCTCCTGCAACACCAAGGGGGAAGTGCGTCAGCCTCTCCCTGTCTCTCAGGGGCTCTTCTCTGCTCCTCACAACCCCAGCTCCAGGTTGGGGTCCTCCAAGGAAGGGGTTGCAGGCATCCAGGTGGAGCTTAGCCAGGTGTTTCTCCCTCCTTGGTCTGGGGGTGGGAGGCGGAACAAGAGGGAAGCCAGTGTTCAGACTGGACAGGCCTTCAGGAGACCTGAACCCAGCTTCTCAGTTTCCCCATGTTGACCAATGGGCTGACGCTGGTCCTGAGAGGTGGAGGAGGGCATGTAGGGGAGCCTTTGCTGCAAAGGCTCTCATCTCTGGGCCTGGGGAGCTTTTGCTGCCTTTCTTCCCTTTCAGATGTGCAGAGTCCCACTTTGCCATGAACCCTTCACTCCACGACCATGGCTTGACTTAGCCTTGTGCTGGGCACTGGAGTCCCAGCTCTCAGGTAGACCCAGGCCCTGCCGGGGACAAGGTCTGTCCCCAGGTTAGCAGGGGAGCCCGGCTTGCAAGCAGCCAGTTTAGCGGCTCAGCGTGGACTTGAATTCAGAATGGTAAGAGGCCTCAGAAGAGGTGACCAGACTGAGCCTGAAGCTCTGGAAGGCTTCTTGGAGGAAGGGACCTGAGCTGAGCCTTGAAGGACAACAGGAGTTAGCAAAAAAAAGAGCTAGACAGGCAGCCAAGGTCAGGGAGAGAATCTTCCAAAGCATGCAGGTGTACCTGGCAAGGAACTTGGACTCTGGGAGATGCAGTGGCAGGCCAGCTGGAGAGGGTCAGTCAGGAGACAGGCAAAAGCCAGAATGGAAAATTGGACCCTGAGGGCACTGGGGAGCCATGGCTCCCCAGTGGTGTAGTCACAGGGTCAGATGTAGGCATTAGAATCACTTTCCTGGAGTTAGGGAGGGAATGTTTCCCACTGCTTCCAGCACCTAGCCAGACCCCTACCCACCCCCACCCCACCCACAAGTGGCTTGGCTTTGGCACAGTCAGATAGGGGGCCCTTCCTGATTCAAGGCCCAGTACCCTATTTCTCGGGTTTCTTGGGCCACAGCAGCCCCTACCCCACACAAGCACACATCATGCTGGAATGCCATGGTCTGTTTTACAGCCATCTCTCTCACTGACAGGAAAACAGCACCAGGGTCCTACTCAGCACAAAGCCTGGGGGTCCTCAACAGTGGAAGGAAGGAGAGGAAGGACAGTCCATCCATCCTGGCTGTCAATTAATCAGAGGGCTCCCCCACCCCAGTACATGGTCTTCAGAGTGGCCTAGTGAAAGGCCTTCCCTTTTTACTGATCTTTGGGATCCCCCTCTGAGAGACTCTGATTTCCTCTGGAGAGGCGTTCAGGCTCCTCCAGAGTTTGTGGGGACTCCCCATTCCCTGCTTACCCAGGCAGAATAACAAGTTCTGCCCTCCTCCCCCAACCTGGCCCTCCATGCAGAAGGAAACTGGTTTACCAGCACAGTTATGGGAAGTGGCTCACCCCACGCTGATCAGATCCTATGAATCTGCCCCACCCCAGGTCCTATCCAGTCCAGACCCCCTGAGATGCCTGGCACCCAGGCCAGCAGCCACTGGGACAGGGCTCTCCTCAGACTCTGTGCACTTGGGTGGCAGAGGCTTCCTGACCACCAGCTGTGCCCAAGCCTTCTCTCAGAAGGGTTCAGGGTCACACAGTCTGGGGTTGGTGGGGAAAGTCCCAGCTCCTCCATTTTTTTCTCTCTGTGGGCAAGCCGCTTCCCCCTCCCCCTCCAGAGCTACCACTGGTTGAGAATTTATTATAAAAAACCAGCTGTGAACTCCTTGGATCTGCAGGCACTCTGTGACATGTTCTAATCATGACCATTTGACTGATGAGCAAACTCAGAGGTTAAGGGGTTTGCCTAAGGTGACACAGACCAGCAGGTCACACCTCAGTTTGCTTGTTTTTCACACTCCTGCCTCATATGCTTGTTGTAAGATTTAAATGAGATCACATCTATCATGTGATATACGGCACAGGGCCACATTCAAGGAGTGTGAACTCCTTGCCTTCTTGCCTTGCTCACCCACTGTTGCAGGGGAAAGCTGATTCTGACTCCATGTTGGAACTGTTTCATTGACTTGCTTTGTTTCATTGCTTTTGTTATTATAATCATACATAATGGCCTGCCTCAGAGAACCCTGCCCCTTGGCCTGACCAATAAACCAAAGTGCCTATATTCAGGACCCTTTACACCTGTGGATGGCACGAAGGAAGAAATGAACACATTCCTTTTCTGAAGCTTGCCATTCTAAGAGATATTTGCACGATTAACAGCCTTTGTTTCCTCACCTCCCTCATCTCTGATCTATAAAAGAACCTGGCATCCAGACCCCAATAAGATGGTTATTTTGAGACATTAGTCCGCCATCATTTCCATCAGCTAGCTTTCCAAATAAAGTCATATTCCTTCCCTCAGCACCTCATCTCCAATTCATTCGCCTGTCTTTCAGGGAGCAGAGCAAGCTTGGACTCAGTAGCACCACCAGCACAGAGCTAGCTGTTCCTCTGCTGGGTGGAAGGAGGGGCAGCATGAGGAAGTGTAGAGGACAGAGCACCTTAATAGCAATCTGGGGGTCTCCCTGAAGGAGGCAATGTCTATAGCTAGGTCTGAAAGGATTGGGGAGCATGTTGCTGTGTGTCTTGGAGAAAGACACAACATTGCTCTGTCTCTCTGCTTATAGATGTAGCTCCTGTGAGGAAGGAAGGAGATTTGTAAATAGCAGGTGTGGCCTCATTATAGTGAGTGACATTATTATTAATAATCATGTGTAGGTAACAAGCTGATCTTGCCTTCCCAGGGATCCAAGAGGAGTAATCAGTGTCTAGGGTGGGGTGGTGCTTTTGAACTGTGGTGTTGGAGAAGACTCTTGAGAGTCCCTTGGACTGCAAGGAGATCCAACGTGTCCATCCTAAGGAGATCAGTCCTGGGTGTTCATTGGAAAGACTGATGCTGAAGCTGAAAGTCCAGTACTTTGGCCACCTCATGCAAAGAGCTAACTCATTGGAAAAGACCCTGATGCTGGGAGGGATTGGGGGCAGGAGGAGAAGGGGACGACAGAGGATGAGATGGTTGAATGGCATCACTGACTTGATGGACATGAGTTTGAGTAAACTCTGGGAATTGGTGATAGACAGGGAGGCCTGGCGTGCTGCGATTCATGGGGTCGCAAAGAGTCGGACATGACTGAGCAACTGAATTGAACCGACTGACTGAACTGAGGGTGAGGTGGAGGAGGAGAATCTGCCTTAGGAGTCTATGCAGCCCCAGGGTGTGTGTGTGTTGTGGGTAGGGTGGGGAGGAATGTCCTCCCTTCCAGGCTTTTATATTCTACTGTGCCTCCAGCCAGGAACTCCACATAAGGGCAGTATTCTCTTCTCTGCTTTGGCTCACACTGTTCCAACGGCAATACCATTTCTCCTCTCCAAGACCACAGGCTAAGAATCACACAGGGCAGTGGGAGGGAGAGGGGTTCCCAAGGCAGCCACCTTGTACTGGTTACTTTCTTTCATCCAACAAAGGCTTGATAGGCATCTCTCTCCACAGGCTCTGCACATGACCCTTAGGGTAGAGAAGAAGAGGGCAAGGTCATGCCTTCAGGAGCTCATGGTCAGCTGACACCCTGCTAACATTTTAGGGTTTACCAGCAACTTCCCACACTGATTTTGTACAACACTCACTTTGGTCTGTGAGGCAGGTTTCATGGTTCCCATTTTGCAGATAAGGAAACTGAGTTTCAGAAAGTTACAAAGGTAACATCTAAGTGATGCTGAAAAGGAATGGACAAGATGTTGATTAAGTGAAGACACTTTGTGAAGTGTCTCTGGATTAAGACAAGCCTCAGTGGGGCTGGGACTGTAGAATCTTAACTGACCCTGTTGGGTCTCATCAGCCTTATCCTGGCCTGGGGGGGCCCTGCTCATGCTCAGAGATTGGAGAGAACACCTTGCCAGCTGAGCAGACAACTTGACAGTCCTGAGACTAGACCCTGAATGATGAGAACACTGCCCTCCACCCAACCCCTAATTACAGGGCAGAGACGGGGAAGTGGGTGTCTTAGAGGGGAGGGCAGAGTTGGTGAGGAGCAAGAGTGGGGAAGTACAGCCTGTGAGCTGAGGCTTGACCATGACCCCTGGTTGTCAACACACAAATGCACTTTCCTGATCCCAACCTGCTGTGTGACTTTGGGAAAGCCCCAACCTTCTCTGAGTCCCTGCTTCCCAGCTCTCTGCAAACTCAATTCCTAAGGATCCTCCAGCTCTTAACTGAGTGGCACCCTTTCTGCTGCCCCCAGGTGACCTTTATTTCCTTTTCCTCCCTGTTGTGCCCAGTCCCTGCTGCCCAGCTCCAGTGGCTCAAGCGTCATCCTTACTCTTGGAACCTGCAGTCCTAGGCCTGCTCTGCCCTCTGACTCAGGCAGGCCTGAACTTTGGGATCTAAGCAGGTGACCTGGGTGGTTTTGCCCCATGATCGTGCTTTGACCTTTGGCATGTCCACCTGGTCCCTCCCTCCTCCACGGCACACACCTGTCCCCAGTCCTAGGGCAGCCCAGGAAATGCAAGGGACCAGGTATTTCAAAGAAGGCAGCAGGTGCTCACTTCGGCAGCACACATACTAAAATCAGAGAAGGCATTAGCACTGCACCAAGGGACTTCTCATCTAACATGAGATGGCCCAGAGAGGCAGCCCTTCCACCCCTCCAGCTCCTCTCTAGGTAACAGCCCAATCCTGGCTGGGAAAGGTCCACCCCATCTGACCTTCCAGGCCACACATGCACAGACCTGTTTTACTGAAGGAAATTTGTTCTAAAGGACAAGTGGACTCACTGAAACCACTTAGTGAACCTCCCAGCATCCTTATACCTGGTTCACTTTGCATGTGTTCGTTTCCCAAGTCGTGTCCAAGTCTTTACAACCCTATGGGCTACAGCCCGCCAGGCTCCTCTGTCCATGGGATTCTCCAAGCCAGAATACTGGAGTGGGTTGCCAGCTCCTTCTCCAGGGAATCTTCCTGACCCAGGGATCAAACCCAGGTCTTCACATTACAGGCAAATTCTTTATCATCTGAGCCACCAGGGAAGCCCTGGTTCTCTTTAGGGATGGGGAAATCACCCCTTCCTCAGAAGGTATGGGGCCTAACCGTAATTGAGATAGGTTTGTAGGAATTTGCCCTCACCAGCTGCAACCGAGAATGAGGGGACAGACTAAGGAGCCCTTCTCCAGCCTCCTAACGCAACTGTACTAGCCAAGAGAGTCACATATTTAATACCAACACTTCTAAGCCTTACGACAGCACCATTATGATATAATTTAATCCCAGTTTTACCGAAATGAGGAAACTAAAGCTCAGCAGGTCAAGTGGCGGGCACAAGTTCACAGAGCTAAAAAGTGGCAATGAATGAAGGGTCTAACGGAGGCGTGTGATGGGCGCGCCGGGCGATGGCTTCGCGGAGAGCGGCGGGTACAGAGTGTGCAGAGCGTCGGCAGCCCGGTCCCCGGAGGGCTGGCAGAGCCAGGCCCTCTGCACCCCGGGGCTCAGGGGAGCACAAGCTCCCAGAGGCGCGGCCCGGCTCTGCCCCTGCTGCGCGGGCCGCCCCGCCCCCGCTCCGCCCCCAGCCCGCCCCGCCCGGGACCGCAGACGGCGCCCGGCGGCGGCGCGAACAGCAGCGAGGAGGGTGGCTCCGGGCTCGGTGCTCACCGCGACTTCCCGCGCAGGGCCCGGCTGGACCAGGACGCGCGTCCTCAGCGGCGCTGGAGGATGCGGCCGCGGTGCCGGGCAGCAGCAGCGGGAAGCCGGGTGTCCTGCAGGTAGGAGCTCGCCCACTTGGCGGGCGCGGAAACTTGGGCCGAGTTTGCGGGCGGCGCGTGGGGAAGGGGCGGGTGGCGCTGCCCCAGGGCGCCCCTACCGGCTGGTCCCGGGATGGAGCGAGCTGGGCCTGGGCCGAGGTGGCGTGGCTCCTACTTGACGCGGAGGGGGGCCGCCGGCGGGCGGGCTGCGGGCAGGGGTCGCGCCGCTGCCCCGACTTTCCCTGGATTTCGAGGCGCCGGGGGCCTGGTAGCGCTCTGGAGGCCGGGTGACGGATCCGGCGCGGGGCTGGAGAAGAGGAGCTAAGGCCGAGTCCTCGGGCCTCCCGCGGGGCCCGGCTCACGTGGACGGCCCGGGCGGATGAGGGGGCGGCGGGGGCCTGGCCTGGGGGCCGGCTGGCACTGAGACGCCTTGGGGCCCTGGACGCGCCCTGCTGGGACGGGACGGCCCTGCGGTTTCCTCGCTAAGTCTTGACTCACCCTCTGGCCGCAGCCCAGGCTGGCGGGATCGCCCCGAGGCGTTGGCTGCCCGAACTCTGCTGCCGGGCCGCCCCCTGCCCCGGCCCTCCCGCCAGTTTTTAGATGTCGGTCCGTGGGGCCCGGTGCTCCGGCCTGCCTGCGTGCACACGTGTGCGGGGCCCCGAGCGAGGGGAGAACGCAGTTCTGGAGGGGCGTGTGTGCAGATACGGGCCAGGCACGTACTTGCAGGCACGGGTTTGCATGGGTGGCGGCCTGTGTATCGGCCTGCTGGGGTGCACGTGCGCCCCAGCGCTGCCGGGCAGGGCATGGGGACACCCGGAAGCCGCCGGGGCAGGGTGCGGCGGCAGCCCCAAAGCCAGGTCGGTTGAGGGCCGCAGGCACTGGAGTTCAGGGCGAGGCAGGTAGAAGACAGCGGGGTGGAGCGGATCCCGCTACCCTTCCCCCACCGCTAGAGCCTGGGCTGCCCCTAGATGCGGTTGTGGCGTAGGCAGGGCCCAAAACCTCAACCGGGGGAGGTGTGAGAACACGGGAAGGAGAGCCGATTCAGCCTTTCAGAGGCGCTGGCCACAGCTGGGCAGGATCGCTCTCTTCTTCCTGGTCTTGCCCAATGTCTACCCGGAGACCCCTTAGGCGTTGGAACTGGGCCAGGGAGCTGTTTGCGCCCCCTGCTGTTTAGGGCAGGGATGGCACGGCGGCGGTGGGCTCCTCTCCCGGGCGCTGCTTGAGAATGGTCCTCCCAGCCCAGCTCCAACCTCAGTCAGGAAGACGCTGGGTGGCCCCAAGGGTGATGTGGCCCTGCTCCCTGGAGACCTGCCCTTCTCCAAACAATTGCTTGCCTCTTCGAGTGTGTGAGGGAAGGAGGCACCTACATTTGGGCTTAGTGTGGAGAAGGGCCTTGCTTGAGGGAGTGTGTGCTGGGCTCTGTACCTCCTAATAGCAGGAGGTCGTGTTACCCCCATACCCTTCATAGCCCTCTGCTGCTTCCCTGGAGCCCTCATATCTCCTCCAAAGACTTGGGGGTCCCAAGTGGCCTCACCTTTATTGGATGAGTCCCAGGGGTGTCGCAGGAAGTCCCCAGGGCAAAGGGCACACAATGGGCAGAGCCCAGGAGAGAATGGCTCTTGGGGCCGGGGGTGGGTATGGAGACGGTCCCAAGGAGTGTATGCGGGAAGTGAGACTAGAGCCCACACTTAATTAACCCAGAGCTCCCCAAGGGCAGGGGTCTCAACCCCACCCCCCCGGCCCCCGCCCAAAGCATACAACCACTTCTTGCAAAGCCGCTGTGCACTGGGGTGGGAGGCTTTCCCCTTGGGATGCAGCCGCCTGTTGTAGGGCACTGCCATCGATATTGTTGCCCCGATACCCCTTCCTGTCTTCTTGGGAGCATCCTCTTCTTCAGGCTGGTCTGAGGTTGGATTCTGGCCAGGAGGTGAGACAACTCTGAGTGTTGCCTGGCTTCCTTGGTGGCACTTAGGTTGGAATAAGGGTGGTCACTGGCCCCCATAATACCCTTGACTTTTCTTGGCACATTTTCAAAATGTGCCAGTCTAACTCTGAGCCTATGGGTGTCATTGGTCACCCAGCTGAAGGGAGAGAGCTGCGGGGGGTGGGTGGGGGGGGTGGAGGTTGGTCTTGGCTTGGTGACAGAAACCTGTGACACCTGGCCCATGGCCTAATCATAGCAAGATTGAGCTGATTCATCCTTCCTAAGCCACCTGAGGGTTTTGGGGAACAGGGCACTGGGGGAGGTAGAAGCAGGTCAGTGTGGTTCTAGCAGACTGGCCTCAGATGACCTCTCCTGGGCCACGGGGTACCTGCTGCCTTGAGGAAATCCACGCTGACCTCTGGGCCTTGGTCCCAGTCCTTGCTTGGCCATGCTTGGGGACTTTAGAGTCTTTTTCAGGCACTCAGTTTTTCCTTCAGTACAAGGGGGTCATTGCCAACTAGCACTTTGTGACCCATGGAAGCTCCCTCCCTGGAGCCTCTTGCCTCCCCACCTGCTCCATGGTCCTGTGCTGCCCCCATGAGCCTTGGGACAACTGCAGCTTGGGGGCTGGGATGGACACAGGCTCTGCTCTCCTGCACTTTTGTGGGAGCTTCCTGTTGGTGCCACAGCGCCATCTGCTGGACAGTCTTTGCTCTCCTGCTGGGGTTCGTTCTAGGGTGAGGGTGGGGGTTACACCAAAGGTTCCCCTGGGCCACCTCTGCTGGGGACTACTACTCTCTAAAACCAAGCCAGTATGTGTCCTTCTGGGCCTAGGGACTTGGTTCCAGGTCTGGCTCTGCCATTTTTCAATAAGACTGATAGGTCAGAAAGTGAGATCTAGAGTGTCACAGGAAATCTAAATTTTGTAGACAATGCTTGATTCCACACCTTGGCTGCTGTAGGAATCTGGAAGTCACTGTGGCATCTGAGACTTAAGAGCTTGTAGTGGGAAGTAGGAAGCCTGCTTCTCATCCCATCTCTTCCATCAATGACTTTGGGATGAACAGGACTCCTCATCTATATATGGATGGAAGTAGGAGCAGGAGGAGTAAGTAGCCAAGCAAAGCGATCCTCAGACTGTGCTCCCCAGAGTCTGAAAGTTCAGAAGGGGTCTTGGGAGTCATGTGGAGTAAAGCTGAACTGAAGGGACTCTTGGAGTGGGGGTGGGGGTATAGTAGAGCTGCTGTGTAAGAATTCTTTAAGCAAAGGGTTTACAGCTTTAGAAACAAAGTTGGCTTATATATGCATTCATTCATCCATACATAAATGGATGTACTTAGCATATATAAATCCATACATGAATGGGTGTACTTAGTATCCATACATGATTGTACTTAGCATCTACTAAGTGCCAAGTTCTTAGGCATGGCAGTGAGCCAGCAAGAACAGCAGTTCTCTGTTGCTTGCCTGTGGCCTGTTTTTTTGACAGCCCCTGCCTCTCTTCTTCTCTCTCCCAGGTCAGCATTTGAGTAGCTGGGGCCCTGGAGGGCTTGAAGCTTTCACAGTGATGGCGGAGAAGCGGCCACTGGGGACCCTGGGGCCTGTGATGTATGGGAAGCTGCCCCGCCTAGAGGCAGACTCCGGGCCCGGCCACAGCCTGCCCCCCTCTGCTGGTAACCAGGACCCCTGCAGCTACAAGGGTGCCTACTTCTCCTGCCCCATGGGGGCTCCTCCTAAGACAGGGTCTGAGCGATTGGCATCTTGGACCCCATACCCACCCTTGTACCCTACCAGCATGGCAGGACCCCCACTCCGAGCAAACAACCTTCTGACCAGCTGCCTGCTCTACCGCCCGCCCACAGAAAGCTCTGAGAAGGTGCAGGACTCTGGCCCTGTTGAGCTCCTGCCCTTTGGTCCCCAGTCTCACTCCTACCCAGGTCCCCCACTGGCAGCACCCAAACCTGTCTACCGCAGCCCCCTGTGTTATGGGCTCTCCACTTGCCTGGGAGAGGGGGCACCGAAGAAGCCTCTGGATGTTGACTGGACGCTGGTGACTGGACCCTTGTTACCACCAGTGGACCCATCTTGTTCTCTGCCCCCAGCCTCTGGCAAGGGCCAGTTCCTGGATGGCACTTTCTTGCGTGGGGTGCCAGCTGGGGCATCTGACAAAGACTCCTCGGTGAGCTTCTCCCCCTGCCAGGCCTTCTTGGAGAAGTACCGGGCCCTCCACAGCACAGGCTTCCTGGCCTCCAAGTATGCGAGTCCTTACTCTGGGGACCCCAAGCAAGCATTGTCCGAGGGCCCCCCGAGTCCTTGGACCCAGCTGGCCCAGCCCCTAGGACCAGCCTGCCAGGACGCAGTGCCCCCGCATTATCCGCTGCCCCACCCCACACAGCCCGTGCCTTGCCCACCAGCCTGTCGCCACCCAGAGAAGCCGGGCGGCTACGGCTCGGTGCTCCCACTGCAGCCACTGGGAACCCACAAGGGGGCCGGGTACCCGGCTGGTGGGCTAAACAGCCCCTACCTGAGGCAGCAGGCCGTTCAGACACCGTATATGCCCCCGGTGGGGCTGGACACTTACGCCTACCCCTCCGCCCCCCTCCCGGCACCCTCGCCAGGCCTCAAGCTGGAGCCACCTCTCACCCCACGCTGCCCACTGGACTTTGCCCCCCAAACATTGGGCTTTCCCTATGCCCGGGAGGACCTCTCTCTCTATGGAGCATCCCCAGGGCTCGGAGGGACGCCACCTTCCCAGAAGAGTGTGCAGGCCTTGCCAAAGCCCGGGGCCTTCCAGCGGGCATGCCAGCCTCTGCCTGCCAGCCGACCGTGCTCGGAGCCCACGAGGCCTGCAGAGAAGCCCGTGCAGGAAGCCGAGGAGAAGATGTGGCTGCCCAGCTGCAGGAAGGAGCAGCCCCAGCCCCGGCTCCAGCCCCAGCCCCGGCTCGATGAGCACCCCGGGGCACCCATTGTCATTGGAGATAGTCCAGTTCCGCGCACCCCACCACCACTCCCACCCTGTGCCCAGGAGCGCCAGTCTCTGCCACAGAACGAGGGCTCACTGCCCCCCAGCTCTCCACCTATGCCAGTCATCGACAACGTCTTCAGCCTGGCCCCCTACCGTGACTATTTGGACGTGCCGGCACCCGAGGCCCCAGCTGAGCCTGAACCGGCCCCAGCCCCCAATGAGAGCCACGACAAAGACTGTGGGAGGTCCCTGCCTGCCCAGGAAACCCCCTCCAGTGGGCACCCCTCACTTAAGGAGGAGGTAGCTCTGGACTTGAGTGTGAAGAAGACTGCCGCCGAGGCCTCCCCCGCCAAGGTCCCCCCGACCAAGGTCCCTCATCCCGTGGGACGTGCCAAGCCCACTGCATCCGTGGATGTGCCAGGTGTGGGGGACACAGTCTCTGATCCTCGGGGCCTGCAAAAGGCAGTCACAGAGGCGCCAGAACCACCTGGGGTGCCAGTGACCACAGAGGCCACCCCGAGGACCAACTTCCACAGCTCAGTGGCCTTCATGTTCCGAAAGTTCAAGATCATCCGGCCAGCACCCTTGCCTGCAACTACGGTCCCCACCACACCCACCTTGGCCCCGGCCCAGCCCGCGCCCACCCCCACCCCTGTGCCCCCTGGACTACAGATGCTCACCCAGCCCTTGCCCATGGCCTGCTTCGGCCTGACACTGCCCAGCCCTCCAGCTGTAGCCATGGCCTCCCCCGCCTCCACGCCTGCCCCAGCTCCGTCGCCCGCTCCGGCTCCGGCTCTGGCTCCCGCTCCAGCTCCCGCTCCGGTTGCTGGCCCCTCCCCAGCTTCAACCCCTGCCACGGCCGACTCCTCAGAGCAGCACTTTGCAGGACTGCATGCATCCTTGTGTGACGCCATCTCGGGCTCCGTGGCCCACTCCCCACCTGAAAAGCTGCGCGAGTGGCTTGAGACATCTGGGCCCTGGGGCCGGGCAGCGTGGCAGGACTGCCAGGGCGTGCAGGGGCTGCTGGGCAAGCTGCTGTCGCAGCTGCAGAGCTTCGTGTGCACGCAGCAGTGCCCCTTCCCCCATGTGGTGCGGGCCGGGGCCATCTTCGTGCCCATCCACCTGGTGAAGGAGCGGCTGTTCCCGCGGCTGCCGCCCGCCTCCGTAGACCACGTGCTACAGGAGCACCGCGTGGAGCTGCGGCCCACCACGCTGTCGGAGGAGCGGGCCCTGCGGGAGCGCGCTCTGCATGGCTGCACCTCACGCATGCTGAAGCTGCTGGCGCTGCGCCAGCTGCCCGACATCTACCCGGACCTGCTGGGCCTGCAGTGGCGGGACTGCGTCCGCCGCCAGCTGGGTGAGCATGGGGCCACCCCCGTAGCCGCCGGAGCTGTGTGAGCGAGTGACAGGTGTGTGGGCTGTGTGAGTGGTCCTCGCTGAGGGCTGAAGGATTCCTGGGCCTCTGGGAAGGACTTGTGCCTGGTAGGGGGGAAAGGCAGGGGCTGGCTTTCTGGGGGGGCCCCGATCCCTCTTCACCCCTAGTGTCAATGAGCACCTTCACAGCCTCCTCTGCAAGCCCCTGAGCATGTCAGCTTGCCAACTCCTCTGTCCCCAGGGAAACGTGGCCTTCCCTCCCGGATCCCTGCGCCTTCACTCCCTGTTGTGCCTTTTCCATCTTTGGTGCAAGTTTCTCCTCTGGTGTTCCTGGGGCTCTGACCAGGCCCTGTGTTCTGTCTGAGGTCATTTCCCTTGTGTGTGTCCTGCCCCACCTCCCCACTTCTGAGCTCAAGCCCCAAGTCCCTGACTGCTTGCTGGGCTTAATGCACCTGGGGTCTCTCCCGACCCTTAAACTCCTTCCAACCCCACTCCTGAGCATCTGTCTGAGTTTGCTTCCCACCCCTGTCTGTCCCAGCTCAGTGAGCAGCTCTGTACTCACCCAGCATTTGGTGTGTAGTTTCCCGGTCCTCCCAGGTAGACATTGGAGTTGCCTGTAAGTCGGAGTGTTGTTTTGTGGTTTGCTTTATCCTGCCGCATAAAGTCTGTGTGTGATGTGCTCCCCTGTGACCTTCTGGTGTCTGAGGGCGTCTTCTGCATCAGATCAGGTAGCTGGACCTTGCTCTCAGGAGGGGCTGCAGTGCCGCATGGGTGGATGGTTACCATCACACTTAGCCAGGGCTTTGGTGATGGCGCCGAGTGGTGTCCGTCACTACCTGTCCTGCTTCAGGACATCTGGCATTGAAGGCCGAGGCCTCCTCTGTAGTCCGCCATCCACCTGACCTTCCATCCTCCAGGCCTCTGGCTCTGTCTCCGCAGAAACTCTTTGCTGTCTCCTTCCCATCCTGACAGCCTTCCTCTGAACTTTCATCTGGTCCTGGCTCCATAGAGAGGAGACCTGAGGCAACAGGTGTAGATGTGAAGCTTCAGGGTCTGAGTGAGGAGCATTGCTGACCACTGAACACTTAAGAAATTGAGTCATTTGCCCTAATGGGGTGCAAAAAAAACATGCAAATACAAGTACTCTATTCTTGGATGGAAAGGAATGAAGGTGGGTGTCAATGCCTCACTCACAAGTCCCCCAGCCAGTCTTATTTCTACATTTGGGCTCTCTGGGGCCCACAGAGGGGCAGGTCTGTTTTTCCTGCGCTGCCTGCTGGGCAGTGGGGTCCAGGCCCATCACAGTTCCCTCCTATTCTGACTGAGCCTACGAGAATGGGGCCCAGCTTCCTGCCTCTGGCTGCGTTTTGGGGCCCCAGTCTCCACCCTCCCGTATCTTTGTGGAGCTGCTCCTCAGACACTGCTCCTCAGAGGTGTCCTTAGACAGGGCTCCCCTGACAGCCTGCCTTCCAAGCAGGAACCCCCTCCCACCCCCTCCACCCCTTCCTCCCCCTGCTCCCCTCAGGCAATGTCTCAGCCCAGCCTTGCCTGGGCTCTGGCTCTGGGGGTGATGTGGCAGGGATCTCTCTGTTCCTCAGTTTCCGTAGCTGTTTAGTGAGCCTTTAGATCAGACCAGTGGTTTCTGGCCTGTTGAGCCCCTTTCCTCTTGTCTTTGCGCTCAGACAGGCCCTGGCGGGGGGCCCTCATCAGATAGAGTGCTGGCGTCACCTGAGGAGAGGCCCGCCCTTTTGGCTTGATGGGCTGGACAGTCTGGCCAGTGAGCACATGCTGGGAAGGGTCGCGATGTCTGTGACCTTACCAGGGCTGCCCTCACCTGGGACAGCAGAACCACTGTTTTAGCTGGTTTTGGGGGCCCAAAGATGGGACCTGAGTGTGTTTTGGGTCTACGGCCTGACAGTATGTTCATTTTCCAGGTGACTTTAACACCGAGCCTGGATCAGTGCCCTCTTCGGAATCCACCGTGACCAGAGAGGAGCCAGGGAGCCTAGACCTGACTTGGAAGTCGGCTGCCCCCAAAGCCAAAAAGCCAGGGAGGAAGCCATCAACCCCTGGCCCAGAGAAAGCAGAGGCGACCGCTGTGGGGGGGTCCCCAGGGGCCTCCCCCACCCCTGCTGCTGGTGCCAGCTTGCCTGGCCCCACGGTGAAGGCACGTTTCCGCAGCCTGCTCGAATCTGCCTGGCTCAATGGCCTGGCACTGCCCACTTGGGGCCACAAGGCCTCGGGACCAGACCGGACCGTACCACGCCCGCAGCTGTTGGGCAGCCAGAGCCACCAGCTGTAACCTTGGGTCACCACTGCTGTTTGGAGATCTGTGGATCGCTCTAAGCCCCACTTCTGCTGTTTCAGCTACTGAGGGCCAGGAGTGGACACAGCCTTGCGGTTTTTCCAGCTCTTACCCTGCTCCCCGCCCCTCACCCCAGGCTGGGCTGAGAGCCCCTGAACTTTTAACTTGAGGGCGTTTATCAGAAAGGATATTTCCTATTAAAACGTGTGGGCCTTGGAGCACAACAGACTTGGGCTTGAATCCTGGCTCCTGTTCCTCGCTGTGTAACCGGGCAGGCCACTGCCCCTCTTGTGCCCACGGTTCTCCATTTGTAAAATAGCACAACACGGCCTACCTCACAGGGTTGTTGTGGAGTGATGCCTGACACACACCCGTCACGGTTTGCTCTCTGCTTCCTGCCCCAGGACAGGAGACAGGGTCTCGGCTGGGGCCTTCCTCTAGAGAGTCTGTGTGTGTCGTCTTAGAGTGGCCCCTTGTCCAGTGTATGTGGCTCACACACTTTCTAGAGTCGTTTCCGAGGAGAGCTTAGAGCTGCAGCCCCAGCGTTTGGGGTTTGACCCTAACCCCCCAGTCTGGAGCTCCCTGCGGGAGCCCCTCCCCTTCCACAGGGGTACAGGGATACAGCCCGGGGCTGGCATCCTTGTCCTGAGCCTGCTGCTTTCACCCCTGGGAAGCCCTGGCCTGTGATGAACTGACCCAGTGACTTCCCTGCGCTGCTGCCGTGACCTGGTGCATTTTCCCAAGGAAGTTGTGTGTTTGCAGGAAGCCAAGCAGCTACAGGGACTCAGGGACTAAAAGGGACAGGCTGAGTGACAGCTCAGCCCTGGAAGTCTCCGAAGACGTCAACTAAGGACTTTGGCCCTCCCCACACCAGGGCTCCATCAGCCAGGCCTGCTGTGGGTTAGCTCCTTGCAGAGTGCTGAACTGAGCCAGAGGCTGGCAAGTTGGGCCCCTGGCCTAGCTAAGGTTTGTAATAAGGCTGTGGGCCCTGGAGACAGGCCATTAAACATTAAAAATATTTGGGTTGTTTTTGGACCTGAGGCTTGACTTTGTCTTAATGAGGTAAGGGGTGTGTGTCATACGTTGGTTCCATGTGTCGTCACCAGGTCCCTCGCCCTTCATTCAGTCTGCAGCTCTCTGCTCCCAGCCCACACATGCCGAGGCTCTCCAGCACCCTCTGCCCACTAGCTCTGGCCATGTTTGTCCTGGGGGTTGCTAGTCTATGGCCCACTGCCCATTGAGAAATGCTGGTCACCAGACACCATTGCATACCCCTCTCCCAGGACCAAGGACATGCCTGCCAAGTTCTAAGTGGGACAGAGCTGTCCCCTTCCCCCCACCCCACCCCTGGGACAGCCCCTCTCACATCTTAGCTGGGCTTAGGTTCCCTTCAGACACCTTGCCTCTGCTGGCCTGTATTCCTACAGGTTTGTTCTCAGAGCTGCTGAGGTTGCTTCCTAACCATCCATCTGGGCATAGCCAGTCCATGAAGGCTGGTCACACCTACCAACATCAACCCCAATATCTGTGGGTTTTCTCAGAGCTCAGCTACACTATTGTATAGACCTGTTGCCTCCTGTACTCTAACCATACAGGCCTGAGGAGTGCCCTGGCCTTTGATGGGAGAAGGGAAGTATGTGTTCAGCTGTGTACAACTCTTTTTGACCCCATGGATGGTGTAGCTTGCCAGGCTCCTCTGCCCATGAAATTCTCCAGGCAAGAATACTGGAGTGGGTCACCATTCCCTTCTTCAGAGGATCTTCCTGATGCAGGAATCAAACCCAGGTCTTCTGCATTGCAGGTGGATTCTTCACTGTATGGGCCATCAGGGAAACCCAAAATGTGAGTTGCCTCTGTGGACTGTGCAGGAATTGAACCCACAACCTCGGCATTAATTGCCCCATGCTCTAATCAACTGAGCTAACCCGGAAACAGGCAACTCCGACACGTGACTAGGGCAGAACCTGGGGGAAGGGTGCCGTGGAAGCTCAGGAGGGGCCTAGTGGGGTGGCGTGGTGGGAGCTCAGTGAGAAGGGGTCCTTGGGTTCCAGATGAGACGCTTCCTGCCTGGAAGCCAGGTAGGAAGATGCGGGTGAAAGGAGTGCCAGGTGTGGCCTGAGGAAGACCACGTGCGGAGGCTCAGGGGTAAAGTATCTGGGAAGGATTAGAAGTGTGGCTGGAGTGTGGGAGCAAGGTGGAGAAGGTGGGGCCTGGTTACGGCTCAATCCAACCTGCTGGCAGTTCATTCAGTCCTGCAACCTGAAGAGCTGGGGTGTGGTTCGTGTTGTTTATAGGAAGGTGAAGAGCGGAGAGTCTGAATCACTCGGGGCTACTAGAGGGAGAGACAGGACTGCACTGAACGCCTTGGGCTTCGTCCACAATTGCCAGTGCCTTGGTGGATTTGGCTCTGATTCTTGCTTCTTTACTTTCTTATTTTCTTTTCCCTCCTTCCTTTCCCCCCTCCGTCTATCCCTGCTTTCCTGCCTTCCTTGTACACCTACAGCGTCCCCTGTTACCTGCCAGAGTGCACATCCTGCCAGCCATTACAGGGCAGAAACTGAGGCCCCGGGGACAGGACTCCGCATCCGAGTCCATCCGTCCACCTGGGGACCCAGAGGCGGGGTGAGAGCGGAGCAGAGCTGGAGCGGGGGTGGGGGTGGCTGCGTCTCTTGTGACAACTCTGTCCTGGGAGCCTGGCTTGAGGGGAGAGACCTAGCCCTGGCCTGAGGGGCCTATTAAGGGAGGATAGTGTTCCAAGGAGCCCCAGCCTAAGTGGTGGGGATGGGTCAAAGCTCTACCCCAGGCCTCCTGTCTGGGAGAGCTACCACTCGTCACAGTTGTTCACAAAGCCCATTCCGTTCTTTGATAGGAATCTTGATGGCTAAGAGCTGAGGGCAAGGAAGCCAGGGTGGGGTGTGGAAGCGAGTGTGGTGGCTGCCCGGACCCCTTGAGGAGACAAACGGGGCCCACTCCACTGTGGTTCCATCCAAGTGGCTCTTCTGACCCCATAGTTCCCCTGCAACCAGCTAAGTCTCCTGGGCTGGGCTGCAACCAGGCAGGACTTTTCAAGCAATCACCTGGAAAATGCTCTCCTGGGCCCCATGGAAAAGGGTCTTAGGCAGAGCCCTGGAATCTAGGTTTTAATTGAACTCCCAAGGGGACACCGAGTCAGGAATCATTTCCAGTAACACAGACTACTACTCCTTCTGGGTTACAGGTGGGGAAAGCGGTCCAGGAACTTGCTGATGGTCGCATCAAGTCAGGTGCTGTGTCCAGACCTAGAGCAGACCAGGGGCCGTGTCCAGTCCTGAAGGTTCGGGGCCAGTGGGGAGGCAGAGAACGCTCTGTACCTGGTTCTGCTCCGCCCTCTGTTGGCCGGGCCCAGACCTGCCCTGGCCTGGCTTCTCTCCGCCCAGGTGGCCTCACTAGGCAACACATGTGGCCACTTTCTTTTACTTTAATAAAAGGAGGCAGGTGCTCAGGTGAGCCTTCGGTTTGCTTGAGGCCCTGCCCCCTGGCTGCCCCACCTGCTCCACAGCTCAGTACAAATGACCGAGGGTCCCGACCCACTAGTTTTGCGGCCAGGAGTTAAGTCTGCAAGGAGGTGAGTGAGGGGGCAGCTCTGTAGGGTGACATGCGTGAGGAGAGTGCGGCTGTGGGGGGTTGTGGGGTACGAAACCTCCACAGCTTCCTCCCCGGCTTGTTGTCACTGAAGGGTTGGAGGGAAGGGGCTGTTCTCCCTTGGTCCCTGCAGGGGAAATGGAGCAGGGCTCACTCCCACCTGATGGAACATGCCTCTGCTGACCCCGCAGGCCCCTCTAGAGGTGGGACTGGTCGCCTCAACCCCTGGGGCCACCCCCCAACCCTGCCTGCTTCCCCGTAGGCCCGGCCCCAGCTGAGGAAGCCGGGGATGAGTGTGGCTGGGTGTGGGGAAGGCGGCGGGGGCGCTCCGGCCAGTGGGCACTGGGCCCTGCTGCTGACTGCTGTCTTCGGTGCCCTCCGGACCTCTGCCTGGCAGCTTCCCCAGCTCCCACCCCTCGTACTCCCCAAGGGGGTGTCCAGCCCAATCCAGTGCCGGCCTCCAGCCCCCAGGGCAGGGGAGGGGCCGCAGGGCCCTCCTCTCTCTCCCCTGGCTGGACTGAGGTTGGCAGGCAGGTGGGGGGCTCCTTGGGGACCCCAACCATGGGCGTTCTAGCTGATGCCCACTCAGAGGCTTGTGCATTGATGAAACTAGCCCCCCATCTGGCCCCCCTCACCCTGCCCCGGCCTCAGCCTGCACTGGTCACTCCGCTTCCTGCACCCCTGCCTCTGTCTTCCAGGAGCCCCATTCCCAGGCCACTGTGCCTTCTCAGGGCAGTAGGGACCTAGGCTCCTGGAAAGGGGGTACTGAGCCCCTGAGCTCCTTGGAAGGACCTCACGAGACCCCTCCAATGACTGCCAGGCCTGGCAGGGGGCCCCTGCTCCTCTTTCCACCAGCCCCCAGATAAAATCATCAACAAGCCCCTGTCCTTCGCACGTAAACGTAGTGAGGCTGGGACAGTCCTCTCTCCTCCTGATGTTCACAGCTTGGAATTCCAAGAGTGGCCGCTTCTTCTCCTCAAACCCTATTAAACCTCCCTTCCCCAAGCCCCACTGTCAGAGGGACTGGGGTTTGACTTGGGACCCCACAGAAGAAAATCTAGAAGCTTCCACCAGCCTCTTGCCTGCTGAGGGCTTGGCCCTCCTTCTGAAGGGTCCTCAGTGAGGCCTGGGCTCCCATCCACCGTGAGTGGTGATGAAAGCCCCTGCTTGCGGAGGCCTGGGTCCCCCAACAGCCCTGGGACCTGCCCGCCTTTCTGCAAAACTTGGCGCCTCCTCGATGTGGGAGAGCCAGGGCCACCCTAACCAGACTTCCCTGCCACCTCTCAGCTTGCCACCTGCTGGCTCTGAGGGCACACAGACACCAACTGCCAGGGGGCCTGTCTTCCCCGCCCTGTCTACCAGCACCCTGGCATTGCTAAGCCCCGCAGGTGGCACGAGTCCCAAACACTACACCTGGGCCCCACCAGCCCTGCCTGCTGCTTCCCCAACACCACCTTCTAGCCCGATGGGTGTCCCCAGGCCCCCAGCATCTGGTTCCCCAGCCCTTGCCAGTTGTCCAGCTTGGAGCCTCTCGGGACCTGATGCTGCCCCAACTGGAGGTAACTCAGGCCCCTCTCCTGGGCTGGATACCCCTGGCCCCAGCCCCTGGCAGCCTAGTTTCCTCCAGCACTCCTCAGGACTGGTGGGGACAGTGCCGATGGGGATTCTTGGCCTCCTTAATCAATAGAAATTGATCAGAGGCCAGACAGGAAATTCAGGCAAGACATTATTAGGGCCCCTGCTGCAGCAGGGAGGAGCCAGAACAAGTAACAGTTTTCCTTGCTTGCTTGCTCTCAGGATGGTGGGGGGTGGGGGGGTGGCGAGCAGGTTACTTATATGGGGTGAGGATAGAGGTGTGTTCAGGGGTTGGATTGGAGGGGTGGGGTGGCTTAGGTGGTTTGCCCACCCCTTAGGTGGTGCTGTGTGCAGACAACATGCACAGTATCCTACTTTTGTTCCCGATTCTTCAGAAGAGGCAGTTGGTCTTTTTGGTCTCTTTCTACCTCATCCAGAATTTGCCCCCAACTGCACAAAGAGATATGTGTCTGGGTGTATGCCTTGCAGCACTGCAGCAAATGGTCCCTGGCCTGCCTCAAGGAGACCGCTCCCTGTTCGGCTGATGCCAGATTCTGTGCACCCGGAGTGCTATCCATGCAGCCCCAGCAGGTCTCCCTGTTTCCTTCTGGCCCCCAGGCTGACCTCCCTGATGTGGGTCCTAACCTCCAGCTGGGCCCACCCTGAGGCTTCTGCAATACTTCCTCTTATGCTGGTCTTCCTCCCAGGGACCCTTCTGGAGCTTGATGCCACTGACTTCAGTGAGGCAGAGCCCAGTCCCACTTTCCCCTCCCCCCTTCGCCATTGGCTCCATGGCTGGGGGACCCACACCAGGGCCTCCTCCTTTTTGCTGGCCCATCCACAACCTGGACACTGGAGCCCCCGGGCATAGAGGTGTGATGACCCCCAGGACATCACCCTCAAGCAGAGCCTACTGGCACCAGACCCTGGCTCTCAGGGTTGAGCCAGGCAGTGGGTGTGCCCTGGGCAGAGGGGCTCAGTCCTGAGGACCCAACTGTCCTCCTGCCTTGGCTGCTGGGGCCCCCAACTCGACTCATTCAGGGGTCCTGGTGACCACCGCAGGAGGCCATAGCCAGCTGCAGGGAGTGCCTGGTATTTCTGTCCCTCTTTTTATGTTGCCCACATGGGTGTGAAGGGCTGGGCGCTTTGGGGGGACTACAAGTCCCCTCTGGTCAGACTTGTGGGACCGCCCCTGTCCTACAGGCAGGTCTGAGCAGTCCAGGCTCAGTCCTTCCCTCGATTAGAGTCCCTCTGTCTTTCCAGCCGACCAGCAGGCCCAAAGCCCCGGTAATGGTTGGGTGGCCTGTCCCCGGCCCCTGAGGGGGTCTGGCTCCAGTCCTGGCCTGGAATGTGAGTACATCAGAGGTGGAGGTCACACATGGCAGGTTGCTACAGCGTGGCCTGCCTGTGCCCAGGGCCTAGCCCCCAAGGCTCCCATGCCCTTCTCCACTTCCATGCACATCATCTACGCACTGCTCATCCCCCAACCCCACCCCCGGCTCAGCCTGGAAGTCATCCTGACAGGAAGAATAGTGCCACCCAAGTTATGGGCTGAGCGAGGAGAAGCCTGCTTAGGGGGTGGCTGGTAAAGGGCCTGAGGCTGAATGTCTGGGAATTCATTTTCCTTTCTCCTTGGCCTTCAAAGAAGGCAGTTTTTTCCCGCCCGGCCCCAAACACACATTGCTGCCCCTGGCCTTTCTCTCCCTACCCACGTGGGACTGATGCTTTGTTTTGTCCTGGGTTCCATGTGAGAGGCAATTATCCCTCCTTTCCTCTTCAAAGGCCAACCGAGGCAGCAAGGTGGATAGATCCCCCATGGCCCTAGCTCTTAATGACAGAACCGAGCCCAGTCCTTCCCTGGTGGTCATGCCCAGTGGAGTCCACGCTTCGGGACCTCCCTCTCCTCTGTCCTGTCCTCCTTGCCGGCCTCCTAAAATCCAGTCTGTTTCTAGTATGTCTTCTCAGCTCCATGTGTTGGATAGGCTGCTAAACCTAGGCTTGGGGCCCTGCCCATCTCTAAAGCCCCTTCCAGGCTGCAGAGGGGCCTGGCCTCCACTGCTGGCTAGCCCACCGGCAGAGTCCTCGCCACACCAGCTCCCTGCAGCCAGAATGAGTGTTGATGGAGGCTGGGGGCAGACTCTGCTTGCCACCTCAGAACTTCCTAGCACTGTGGCAGCGAAGGTGGGCCAACGCATGGGTACCTACTGCCCCTGGAGCATGGGCCTGGCCTCACTCAGCCCCAGTGGTGTGCATGGGGAAAGTGCTGCCCACTCTCTCCTGGAACATGCCTGCTATCACACTTTTGTCCCTCCTGGGTTCCCTGGCTGGCCTGGTGAGGATGCCTGTCACCTACCCTTCTGACTGCCCCATGGCCCAGCTCAAACCTTCCCCTAGCCCTACGAACCTT